TTATTGGTAAGAATATATAAAACTATATACAATTTTTATTTTTCTATAAATTTTATATTTATATTCTATAAATATAAAAAATTTTTATTTTTCTCTAAATATCTATAAATTCTATAATATTTTTCTATAAATTTTTCTATAAATATCTATTAAAGATTACAACAAGTTTGAGCTTTTCAGGAACTATAGCAGTAACTGATATACAAGATATAGTGCGCACTATCAGAAATAGAGGACAATTTAAAGGTCTTGGAGGAGAATTAATGAAACAAGCTTGTTCCACACTAATAAAGAAATGTTCTGTTGTTCATTTTCCTGTTCATTTTACAGATATTGTAGGTATGTATTAATAATTAAAATAAATTTTACTTCTTAAACAATTATTTTTGTTCTATTACTTGCGTATTTTATAATATCTATCAATAATACAGATGATTGGCAGAAATTACTAGAAGAATGCTTGAGCCACGAAGTATCGATAGTTAAGTTAAAAGCAGCCGAAGCACATACAAACTTTTTTCTAGAATATTATGTGAATATTGATTATGATGCTCGAAGTATTATAATTAATCGTTACTTGGAGTCCTTACAATCGAGTAATCAGTCTATTAGAATAGGATTTGCACAAGCAATAGGTAAGTTCAAGAGTGCATTCTATTTATAGGTGCCAAGATATTTCCATCTATTTCATTAATTTTATTTTTTATAGGACATTTTCCATTATTCGTAATTCGTGAAAGAGTGAAAGATATCATAAATTCGTTAATTACATGCACTCATATATCTAAGAACACATTGAAATGGGCGGAGAGTAGAAAAGAAGCTTTGCACTCTTTAACAATGATACTGCAAACATTAGGAATTGATGAAGCTGGTGAGTTTTTATTCAAATATCATATATTCATTTAACACTTTACGATATTTACTATGAATAAATAAATTTTTCTTCAGACAAATGGCAATCGTTTGTACCAGATATATACGATTGTTATTTATTGGCTCTTAAAGAATATACGATAGATAGTCGTGGTGATATAGGCGCTTGGGTGAGAGAAGCAGCTATGATTGGACTACACGTACGTATTCCATTGCAGAAAATTATTTTATCAATATGCATTACAAAACTGATTGCAATTAAAATTTTTATATTATTCAGATAATGACGAATCTAGTATCGCAAGCAAAACTATTCTCTGTACTGAATGAGGACTTAATGACTGGTATTATTGGTGGTATCGCACAACAAGCTGTTGAGAGGATAGATGGAATTCGAGCTCAGGCTGGTACTGTATTCAGTGCTCTTATACACAGGTAAAAACACGTCAGTATATCTACTGAAATTTTCCATCATTTTTTTATTCATAAAAACATAAGAAATAAAACATGAAGAATTTTAATTGGCAAAATTTTTTGATAATTTTGATTAATTGATGCCATTTTTTATAGTGATCCGCCACTTACAAATATACTCTATCATGATGAGTTGAAAGCTATATTTCCTTATAATGAATGTAAGGAAACTATCGAATGGCGAATGGAATCTGCAACGTTTCCACGATTTATTAAGATGTTGAATTTTCCACCGTATAAAATGAACTTGTTACGCGGAATTATATTTAGCGTCGGTGGCTTAAGCGAGTCATTGGTAAATCTAATATTTATTAAAAATTATAGAAATCTCTCTATAATCTTATATAAAATATCTTTCAAGCATTTATGTGCATAAGCTAATTTACTTGATAAAGAAACAAGATTGTTGATCGATTTTTTAAAATAAGATTTATAATTTTATTAATTGTATAACAAATTTTCTATTTGTAACTAAATATCTTTCTTATTTTTTATCTCTTATCTCAGGTAAAATATTCGAGTGTTTCTTTATTTACTTATCTACAAGAGATCGATGAGATGGGTTTAAGGGATTTATGTGAAAAAATATTAGATATATTCGAAGAGAGTCATAAAAATGAAAGAATGATAACATCAATGTTGGCTTTCTTGGATCGTTTGTTGAGTTCCGGTTGCATTCAGTCTGTCTTAGATGATGAAAGCAATACAATTTCAGAGCGTATATTGACATTATTAAAACAGGAAATAAAATATTCTAACAATATGAAACTACTTATTAGTAGTATAAATGTTTTCTGCGAATTACTGCAGGTAAAAATTGATGAGAAAAATAATACTGGGAAACAAGATTTTATCGTTTTTATATTATTTTTAAGGGCATTACAATTTTTAAAACATATTTTTTACTAATTTGAGTGCACTAAACACGAATAGAGCCTTGAAAATACTAAATTGATTTTTTAAACAAACGAAGTCGAAAATGCAAAAAACATGTTTTTAATCATTTTTCAACATCTGTAAAAAACATTAGCTCCTAGAATTTTCTAGTTGGGATAAAATATAATCTTAATCTTTGCCCTTTTAGGCTATAGATGGAAATATTAGACGCCATTAATTTGGAATATTTTTTTGATAAAGATTTGTGCGATTTCATAATATAAATGCCCTGAAGCATTTTATTGAGAAATAATATTAACATTTACTAAATGCGGCAAAGTTTAAGAAATCATAATAAAATAGAAAAAATAATATAAATTATATTAGGTAATGAGAAAAAGTTCGTGGCGTTTTTCCCATTAGATGGCATTAAAAAAACGCCACGAACTTTTTCCCACACCTAATATATAAAAATCATATAGAAAAATAAATAAATATAATATTGCAACTAGAAGATTCTAGTTGTAGGATTGTTTTCCTATACATGTTGAATCAAAAACGCGCACCTTTGATCCCATTTTGTTAAAGGCTAGAGTCAATTAATTATTTTCATTTCTAGATTTGAATTCTACGAGAAAAAAACCTATCAGAAACAGTTGCCTTTGACTCGACAAAAAAATTCGTGTTCCCCAGTGTTATCAATTAATAATTATATAATAGTAATTAATTGATGTGCGTGTGTGCGTGCGTGCGTGCGTGCGTGCGTGCGTGCGTGCGTGCGTGTGCGTGTGTGTGTGTGTGTGTGTGTGTGTGTGTGTGTGTGTGTGTGTGTGTGTGTGTGTACAGGGTGTCCCAATATTTGGGATTATTTTCATACAGGTTTTAGAACAGATTAAACTGAATCGAAAAATCCTGTACAACTTTTTAATTTTCACAATAGTTAACGAGTTATTAATTATTAAAAATCTATATTAGCTCTGCAAGCGCGCGGCGATAGATCAGATTAGTATGGCGATTTTTAATAATTAATAACTTGTTAACTATTGTGAAAATTGAGAAATTATAGAAGACTTTTCGACTCAGTTTAGCCCGCTCTAAAATAGTCCCAAATATCAGTTTTAGGATATTGTATATTATATGATAATATTTATAATATATAACCACACACACACACACACACATACATACACACACACACACACACACACACAGACACACCAAATTCATAATAATTTAAATATTTTAAATTGTCTCGAATATTATATTAATTGAATTTCATTAAATATTATTAAATGTTTCAAATTTTTAGGTACGAGGAGCTGTTGCAAAGAGAGCATTTTGTCAATTAAGTATATTTTTGTGTCACAAATATACGAGCTTAAGGAAGACAACAGCTATACGTACTTATGAAACATTAACTCTTTACGGAGAGGAAATGGATATAGCAGAAGAAGATTTAGCAAATATACTCATAAAATTGAACGCGACAGATTGGGAACAACCAATCGCAGATTTACGTCCAATCAGAAATAATTTGTGTGAGCTAATGAAGGTACCCGCTCCAGTTTTGCAAATAAAATCAACGAATTGAAAAAGGCTAAAGTATGAAAATCATAGCTTTTTATTGTATTTAAAATTATATTTTTACGCTTAAATGGCGTAAAGTGAGACAAAATTTGGTCACTGCGATGAACAATTAAGATAAAGATTACAAATCTCACAGTCAAATAAGGCTTTAATACTGTCTAAACTCTAATACTGTCATTAAAAATATTGTATATACAGGGTGAAGTTAATGAATGTCTCAACGTTTTGTCATGGAAGATATCATAATTACCAATTGTAATACAGTTACAGAAAGAGTGAAATTCACATATAAGAAAGAGTGAAATATTCATCTCTTATGGTAAAATGTTGAGACATTCGTTAAGAATCATTATACATGAAATGACATAAGTTACATTTTATGTATGATGATCCTAATAGGCTTTTTACAATAGTAAGTCATAATTTAAGTTTTAAGTCGTAAGTCATAAGAAATTGACCAATTACACTCGACTGTGAGAAGAATAATCGACTGGTTTGATTGGTCAATTTTTTACGACTTAAGACTTAAAGCCCAGATAATGACTTATAGTAAAAAGCCCATATGATTCACTATATACGCATAAAAATAAAATCTTTTTCCATCATGCAGACTTATACATTTTGTAAAATGCATTTAGTAATTTCTATTGCGTTATTTTATACAAAATGAATATGTAAAAATTATTTCTATGATATTAAAATAAAAATGCTTGTACATTCACTTAGATTTATAAACATTATCCTTTTCTTTGGATGGCCCAAGGCACTTATCATAGAACAAGTCAGAATGGATTGTGTTTTCTGAAGAAAACAGAATAATTCCAATTCGGAATCCATTCTGACTTTTTCTATGAAAAGTGTTCTGATCCTCGCACCTGCGATATATGTGGCCAATAATATAATGCGCAGTTTAAGTTGACCTCGTTTTTAAACAAAATATTTTTAGATATAATGCATCATTCAATCCGAAATAAATCTAAACGTATTCACTCTAGCCTCTTATCTTATATTCTTGCAGTCTTTGAACTAGTGCACACGATGCAATAAGTTGAAGTAAAACAAATGTATATTATTTGTTTCAATTCAACCTATTGTGCGTGTGCATTAGTTCAGAGTAAATGAATAAAAAGAAGACTTTTTATATTTTTATCAAAAAAATTCTTTCAAATTTTTTTTTTTCATATGTTTCAACATTCATTATTGTCATACATAGTTATCTTCTGTTCATCAAAATGTTTTATATTAATACTGATATTGTTAGTTATGTAATGAGATAACAGCTTAGCTCCACATTTCTCAATATTCCACTGCTCAGTCCACCAATTGCGCTTATTAATTTCGCCTGTTATTGGATCTCTTGGCAGAGAACAATTGTATTGTCTTTTTGTTACTATGCTCTTTTTTAATTCGTAACTATTCTTTTGTATTCGTTCACAAACAAAGCATTCGAATTCTTCCATATAATTTCCAAAATCGTTTGGAATTCCCATTTGTCTCTTTTCGAGCGCACGTAACAACTTGCTATTTGTAACACGATTTTCGCGTTTATTTAATTTATGAGACAAGTACTCTTCATATGCAGAATCATTTTTTAAAAGATTATGCAAAAAATGAGCGAGTTCTATTGGACTAGTAAAGTCTAATATTGAGATAGCAGATTTATTATTTGGTAGCCAATCCTACAAAATAAAAAATTTAGATAAAGCAAATTTAATTCTGCAAGATTCAAGTCACGATTAAAAAAATACCTTAAAAGATGGTGATCCGTAATATATTGGTACAGAGCCGACAACAAGCGGTCTCCATAGTTTTTCTGTAATATAATCGTCACAAATTGCATTCTCAAAAGCTATAGTAAACTTGTATTTGGCCACAAAGAACAAGAACTCACGATCACTTAAAATATCGAGATAGTTATTCTTCAACCTGAATAGGCATATTTGATCTGCTAATAATTATTAATTTTGACAATCTAAAATTATTATTTTAACATTTTAGTGAAGTCAGCATCCCCATCATTGAAAATTGAAATAAGATGAAAGAAATACATGCCAAAATTAAGTGCTAATTTAGTGCTCTATTCCTGATTTTAGTGCTCAAAGCATTTAGCAGGAATTCGCGTTTAAAAATGGCGGAGCTAGATTACGTCAAGAACTATCAATTCATATATATGAACAAAAATTTAAAAATCAATACACAAAATTAAGGAATAAACTTTTTAAGAATAAACAGAATTGATATCAGTTTACTAAGAAAACGATTACATGTAACATATTAGGTGTGGGAAAAAGTTCGTGGCATTTTTTTAATGCCATCTAATGAGAAAAACGCCACGAACTTTTTCCCACACCTAACAAGAGTAAAACATCTTCTAAAATTCAGATAGAGAATTGACTTCAGTGTCAAATTTAGACGCTCACAAGATATCGATTTAGATGCTTACAAGATATATACAATTCCAATTTTGGTGCTTATCCCTCGTTATTGAAAAGGCATCTCTAATTCTATATGAATAAAAATAAAGTAGTTCTAAAATCAAGTCGAAGAGGCACTTAACTTGCCGAGTGTTAAAGTCACTCAACTATAATAGAATACGGATAGGAACTGTTACTTTTACTGTTACTTTCTATAATAACGGTTTGACATTGTAATTTTTTTTGTGACAGTAATAATAACTAACTAAAACATAAAATTAAGAAAAATTTTAAAAAGTAACTTGTCATCATTATATGTTGTTTATTGAACAAAAAGTAACTCGTTATGTAACAAGTTAAAGTAATAAGTAAAAATACCGAATCGATATGTTAATAATGAGTTATTTTTATTGTTCCTATCCGTATTCTAGTATAGCTGGCTTTAACATTCGGCAAGTTAAGGATGCCTCTTCGACTTGATTTTAGAAGTATTTTATTTTTGTTCATACAATAAAATAAAGATGATAGATTAGTTAGTTACTTTTCAAAAGTAAATTTTCCAAAGTAATTTTCTCAATCTTTAAGTTAGTTATCGTTACCGTCATAAAAAATTGCAACGTTCGTTATTGCCAAAAAGTAATGATTCTCATCCCTGCAGTATTTTTTAAAACTGACATAGAGGATTGATATTAAATTACTTTCTGATTTTAATGCTATTTTAAATTTGTTTTATTTAAAATTAAACTTGCACTTTATGTTAACATAATATTCTTTTATTTTACATTGTAAACATTATATTTTATAATATTATAAATTACATGATATTGCATATAATTTATAGAGTAAAAAAAAAAAACAAAATAATTTATGGACAAGCATTATAATTCTTGCTTTCTTCTGCATTTCGGCAATCGTCATATTTGATCCATTTAGTCTTATTGCAATAACAAATGACCGTGTAATGATAAATTGTCTCGTTCAAACTTCTTGTTTGTTTTTCAGAGATCATGTAATTGACGATGTCATTACAGATTAAGAAAATACTCTTTTGAGAAATGAAAATTTTATTTTTTCGAAGAGAGATGTAATTCTATTTAATTTATAATATTCCTTCAGTATCACATAGATTTTCAACATAAGATCCTAAAAATTGGGAAATATAATATCAAACTATTAATATTCTTAAAATATTCATTATCATCATTATTAAATTGTTTATCAATTTATATGTAATACTATTATAATTCTGTTCATTTACAAGTACATTTCAAGATCGAAAAAGATTTCCACGCATGATTTTTTAATTGGACATTTATTATAAATTTACGCCGAAATATTTAAACACTGAAATCCGTTTGTTTAAAAAAATTGTTTTGTGTGCAAGTGTGATATTATAATGTTTACAATATAACACAAAAGCATATAATATTAACATAAAAAAAGGGTAATTACCATATTTATAACATTTCATGCAATAAATGCAATTTAATTTTAAGTAAAATAAACTTAACATAGCATCAAAATCAGAAATAATTCACACCGATCCTCTATATCACTTTTAAAAAATATAGTTAGCTTTAACGTTCGGCAAACAATAAGAATACCTCTTCGATTTGTCTTGATTTTAAAAGGTTTATTCTTGTTCATTCACAATTAGGAATATTTTTTAGACAAGGGATAAGCATCAAATTGAATATTATATATCTCGCGAGTACCTACATCAAGAAAGCACTGAAACCAATTTTCTATTTCAATTTTAGAAAGTGCTTTACTCTTGTTCATGTAATTGTTATATGTAATTGTTTTTTTTTAGTTCGTATCTTTTAAAATTTAACAGATATCAATTCTGTTTATTGTTCCTAAATAGCACTTAATGTTGATATGTATCTTATTCCAATTCAATTTTCGATGATGAAGGTATCAACTTCACAGAAATTGTTTTAAATAAAAATGTACCTGTTGTCAAGCTGAGCATTATTCATACATGTACCATAGGAATCTATCCGAATATGTTTCATTAATTCTGAGACGTAACTATCCCTGTCACTAGCAGTATCACAGTCAGATTGAATGTATAATACTGGTGCTAAATTTTCTACATGCATCAATGCAGATTTTTCTTTGGTAGACATGTAATACGAATTTGCTGCAAATATTTCAGTTTTATATTTTTTATGCACACATGAGGTTTACCCATAAAGTGGTATGTAGACGCTCAATATTATTGTTCAATTATATTTTTCAATATTATTGATGTCCCTTTACAATTCAATTTTTAATATAACTTTCAAATCGTGCAATTTGTTAATTCTTTTATTTATTAATTTAACATCTCTCTTTAATCTTTTTTAATTGTCATTATCAATGACATGAATCGAATGAATTGAACAAAATATTTGACGAGAATCTATCGACATTTGATCACAGAGTAAGCATAAAAAAACAAGATTTACTGAAGATAAATTGTAAAGACATTTCCAAACTGGACAGCATTTCCTTAACTGGAACGGCTATCATTCTACGTATGATCATGAGCAAACAAAGTGCATTATAATTAGTTTTTTGAAAAAAAATGATAAAAAATAATTATTCAAATGTCATTATTCAACGTTAATTTTTATATAAGCATAGTTCATTTATAATACTAGAAATAAATGATCGTCATAAATTGATATCTTTTGAGCAATAGTACTTTCAGATTGATCAATATCTTACAAGTTGCACAATATATTTCAAAGAATTTTTTATCAATACAATATCAGGGTTGCTACAGACCTGGAAAACCGGGAAAAGTCAGGAAAATTGAAATTGATCATGGAAAATCGGAAAAAAATCAGGCGAAAATGTAAAGTCTGGAATTTCGAAATTTGTTTACAATTTCCTTAAATTGCTCCTATTCCAAATAATTGTTATAATTTTTTAAATATCATATCTGACATTTATAGGCAAATATGTTCAAAATTTGCACACTTTAAATGATTTTAATAAAATAATTAAAATTTATATTTTATTCAGTATTTTTATTTGATCCCTTTTTTCGTAACTGTATTCTTTTTTTCATAACTAATTTATTTTTTGCTGGCTTGAATTTACACCTAAAATTTTACTATGTTACTAACTTTTTTTAATAATATAGACTAGCTTTCTTACAATCCTTGAGTTAAAATTTATATATTTTGTGTTAGTCATGGAAAATTTTCCATTTTCAGCTGGAAAACTTAGAAAAGACAGAGAATTTTAAAATCATTTTCTATAGCAACCTTGAATATACTACAAAAAATTCTTAATATTGTCTCCAGACGATTATGCAATATTAAATATTTAAAAATTTATATACATTGTTTAATAATATTGATCTAAAAGTCTTAAAATGTTCGATCATATATATTGTTACTTAAATAATAGAAAATTAGAATTGGACAATGTAAACTTTTGTTAATTAGACCAGGTGTCCCTTATAATGACAACTGTTAATAACAAAATCTTGAAATAATGTATCATTTTGAAAAATTCAAAAATTCTAATATCAAAATATCAAAGCTACAGTTTTTAAATGAGAAGGGTTTTATATTAATCAATTGTTCCGTCCAAAATTCGCACATTTAGGTACGATATATTATATAATAGTGTAAGATATTTTCAAGCACCAATTCTATTCTCTTTTATTCTTCTAAATATCTTCACTTGTGCAATATGTCATTACTGAACATATGAATTTTGCATGAATTTCAGACAGTTCCAGTTAACTAATTTTAAAAATCCTTTTCATTTAAATACCATTGTAGAGCCATCTCGATATTTTGGTATTAGAATTTACAATTTTCTAAAATGATCTCAAGAATCTAAAAAATTAACGAATGTTACAATAAGTCTTGGATATATCTTATACATTTTTGTCTATAATTACCTACTAATTCTTCTAGACCAGGTAAATCAAGAAGTGTGAGTGGTACATTACTTAATCTGCTAAAGGTCGAAGAGTAATTAAAAAGATTAAGTGCTTCTTGATGAACAAGTATAGGATTATTCCTAGGGGATTCTTCATGAAGTAAGCCCCAAGATATGGCACTACTCCTCCAATTGGGCAAATCATGAATACGAAGATTACTTCCATAAAATAGAACACTCTATAAAAGTCAGTAGTGTGCGAGATATGGAAATTGATTGAAAGAAGTAGAAATGTAAAGGGATCATACTTTTAAGTTCACATTATTCTCAAATGTTCTATTATGTGTGAGGTAACATCTGGCATTCCCGCAGGTTTTTATTCGATTATTATTACCGAATGGTGTCCACCATAGTATGACAGGTACGTCGTCATCTGGATACAAAAAATCGAGATACATCAATTTTTGTGGAGAAGCATCGATATGGTATATTAACAAATTACCTGAGAAAGACAATCTTTTGCGATCGCGGAGTACTAAACATAACTAAAAATTGAAATGAAAATGAATTAGCGGAAGCACGGAAATGCGAGCGTCAGTTTGGTTGATATCAATTTTATTACATGTACCTGAAATATCACGAGACATACACTCAGTGCTGTCGCAATTGTAAACATGACGCGTATTTTTCGCGGCATTATAGTTTCAAACGCATATTTATAAAGAATAAAAAAGAAGATATCATCTTTTTTAAACGAATTACTAAATGACTAACGACATAACCAAGAAACAAAATGTCAAACGTTCTTCCTCTATCTTTCTCTCTCTCTCACTCTTTTTTCCCTCCCCCCCCCCCCCCCCCCCCCCT